GGGGGGGGGGGGGGGGGGGGGGGGGGGGGGCGAGTTAAATCGTACGTGGGGAAAAAAAAAGGGAAAAACGAGAGGAGACTGGGGCGAGAGGTTCCCTCCCCCTTACCCTCTCTAGTCGCACCTTGTTTTTTTTTCTTCGTCAAATTTTCGCCCGCGCCCTACTATTTTAACGCATGGAACAGGCTAGCAAATTTGTAACTGCCATTATTTTAATAGATATCACATGAATAATCTTGCTTGCTAGTATGCTATAAAAGACCATAAAATGCTTGGATATCTGAGCTATTTAGAATAAAAATTAGAAAACCTTGTCGCTATTTGATTGGTTACTTAAAATCTTGTGATTATCAGCCAAATTACAGTATTTTTACATCCCAGGTGTATTTTACCAATGGCTATCAATCAAAGCCCGCAAGACCACGCCTACTCCACTATGGGGGGTGATCTAGATTTATGTTAATACGAAGTATTATAAAATTAAATCCCCTGCAAAACTAAAATGTTTTCAATTACAAAAATTGACAAAACACCATGGTGACAACGTTCGATGGATTGGATCCAAAACAAAGAAAAAAATTTTTTTTTATGAATTTCAGACATTGTTCTAGGATTTAAGGTGTCAAACACTTGATCTCAAGCTTAATGTTTCGATGCGTTCACGCCACCTCTATCAGACAATTGATACTTTTAAAAAAACCAGTGGTTAAAAGAGCATCCAGACGAGGATAGATTATCAGACAGTGCTCCCGTTGCATCGTCACGTTTGCCTTTGAGGATCTTCAGCGTTTCTTAGCGAAGGTAAGTGTTATTTCTTTAGGTCACCACAATTTTAACAACCTGTCAAATTTTAACCACACATTTTACTGTTTTTAGTGTGCGTACTTTATAAGTTTATATCTTTACCAGGACGCCATGACTTGTCATGACTGCTCCTGCTTCAGACGAGAGCGTAAACGTTAGCTTTAACAGTCTCTAAGCCTACGTGGCAATTATTCGCAAGAGCAGGAGAAGGGCCCCGCGCGCCTTCGAGAACCAAGGTTGACAACAGCATAAAATTATCTAGATTGGTTCATTTTACTATTTATATATCATACCTTGAAGCGGAAGAAAACTGACCTGTGGAGCTGACCCAGTATTCCTTCCCCGGGATGTAATCTGGCTCGTTGCTTGCTAGCACGGATTTTAGATTTTTTAGCTGCTTGAACCCTAGACAACCACGGGCATATATTATATTTTATGAGAAAGAGAGAAAACAAAAAGAATTTGAAAATCTGTGCTAACTATTCACTGTTTTAGGTGGCAAACACGGGAGAATAACAAAGTATAGGAGAAAATGAATTCTCATCAGAATTTTTCCTTTGTTTGATATCAATCCTTAAGCTATGTTCTCATCACCTCGTTTAAGTCCTTGGAGACAAATAT